CCCTGCCTCCAGCCCTAGGCAACCACATTTTAAAATGGGATCATACGATACGTATGATCTTTTGTGACTGGCTTGTTTCACCCAGCATATTTTCAAGGTTCATCCATGTTGTAGCATGTATCTGTACTTCATTCCTTTTTATGGATAAATAATATTCCATCGTGTGGATATACCATATTTTATTTATCCATTCATTGGTTGATGGACATTTAGGTAGTTTTGCCTTTTAGCTGTTATGAATAATACTCTTAATGTTTGTATACACATTTCTTGTGTGCTTATGTGGGTGTATGTATTTGGAATATGTGAGCATTCCAGTGTGGCTAGAACTAAGTAAGAGTGGATTTCTAGGCCATATGGTTACTCTATGTTTAACCTTTTGAGGAACTGCCAGACTGTTTTCCAAAGGAGCTGCACGATTTTCCATTTTTACCAGCACAGTATGAGGGTTCCAGTTTCTCTCCTTCTTGCCAGCACTTGTTATCTATCTTTTTGATTATAGCCCCCTTAGTGGCTATGAAGTGGTATCTCACTGTAGTTTTATTTGTATTTCCCTGATGACTAATGACATTGACTGTCTTTTAGTGTGTTTGTTATTTGTACATCTTCTCTGGAGAAACAGCTATTCAGGTCCTTTGTTCCTTTTAAAAATTGGTTTACTTGTCTTTTTATTGTTCAGTTATAGTAATGACTGAACAATAGAATGTCCCGGGGATGGGAGAGTGCTTATTTTTTTTTTTTAAGAGTTATTAGAGTTCTTCATATATTTTAGATACAAGTCCATTATCAGATGTATGATTTGCAGATATTTTCTCCCATTGAGTGGATTGTCTTCACTTTCTTGATGGTGTCCTTTGAAGAAGAAAAATTTAAAATGTTGATGAAGTCCAATTGGTCTGGTTTTTTATTTTGTTGCTTATGTTTTTGGTGTCATATCTAAGACAAATCATTGCCAAATCCAAGGTCATGAAGTCTTAACGCCTGCGTTTCCAAGTTTTATAGTTTTTGCTCCTGCATTTGTCTTTGATCCTTTTGAGTTAATTTTTGCATGTGATGTGAGGTAGGAGTCCAGCTTCATGTGGATGTACAGTTGTACCAGCACTATTTGTTGAAAAGACTGTTCTTTTCCCATTGAATTGTTTTGGCAACCTTGTTGAAAATCAATTGACTGCAAATGTGAGAGTTTATTTCTGGACTCTCAGTTCTATTCCATTTATCTGTACACCTGTCCTTATGCCAGTACCACACTATCTTGATTACTGTAGCTTTGTAGTAAGTTTTAAAATCATGAATCATGAGTCCTCCAACTTTCTTCGTCTTTTTCAAGATTGTTTTGACTGTTCTGGGTCTGGGGACCTAGTATTTCCATATGAATTTTAGGATTATCTTGTCAATTTCTGCCAAAAAAAAAAAAAAAAAAAGCCAGGTGGGATTTTGATAGATTGTGTTGAATTAATATGGGAAGTATTGCCATCTTACCAATATTAAGTCTTTCAATTTATAAACACAGGATTTCTCTTTGTTTAGTTAGGTCTTTACTTTCTTTCAAAGAAGTTTGTGGTTTTTAATATAGAAGTCTTACTTTGTTAAAGATATTCCTAAGTATGTTATTCTTTTTGATGCTATTGTAAATTGAGTTATTTAATTATTTTCTTAATTGTATATCAG